GTTTTAAAAGGACAAAATGCATAATTTACATTGTTTTGGAAAAAATATCACAGAAGCACAGGATTAATGAATGTGCAAGTCTTTAATCATGTTGATTATTTTCCAATTAATATAAAAACAATCAATTTAACTTAACTTTCACAGTGCTTATTTGATCATTTTGTTTATTTATTTTTGAGACAAGGTCTTGCTCTGTCACCCGGGCTAGAGTGCAATGGCATCATCATAGCTCACTGCAACCTCAAACTCCTGGGCTCAAGCTATCCTCCTTCCTCAGCCTCCTGAGTAGCTGGGACAACAGGCATGCACCACCATGCCCGGCTAATTTTTTTCTATTTTTTGTAGAGATGAGGTCTCGCTCTTGCTCAGACTGGTCTTGAACTCCTGTATTTCCTTACGAAAAAATAAATGAAGCAAAGAAGAACCACAGGTATACTCACAAACAAATGGACATAAGTAGCTTGTCATTCTATTAAGTAGTCATCCATACTGTTCTTTAAATAATAACTGAAAATGTTATGTCTTAAAAATACTGTACACCAATCATTCAAATCACATTTTTAGTAAACTTTGTGCTTCACGTATTACATTTTATGGCCATTAAATAAATGAAAGGAACCAGTTTTCTCCATCACAATCATTACCAAATATATCATTACAGGGCATATGACTTTCTCATGTACTTACTACTTCCAAAATACCTGAGTTTCTGGATTTCATTTGGAATAAAACTAATTTCATTGTAGGAAATATCAAGGTCCTCAAGATGGGACAAGCGAAATAACCTCAAATAGAAAGAGAAAATTAATTGTAAAAATGATTATGTATTTGTCATCACTGGGAATAAATAAATAATTAAATAATTGATTAAGGATGGAGGAGTATAGAAAAACAATAGTTTTCTACGATCTTGACATTTATGTAGACTTCTTTTCATTATAGATAGTGTAATTACCATAAAGTTTCCTAGAAATTATTCATCTGTCTATTAAGACTGGTTTCAGATGCTTGGAATGAACAAAGGCCCAATTTAGGAAAAGGCACCTGAGAAATTTTTAACATCATTTAGATATTTTTTTTTTTGTGGTTGTTGTATTAATTTCCCAGGGCTGACGTGACATATTACCCCTGGCTTAAATAACAGAAATTTATTCTTTCATAGTTCAGGAGGCCAGAAGTCTGAAATCAAGCTATCAGCAGGATTGGTTCCTTCTGGTGGCTCTGAGGGAGAAATCGTCCCTTGCTTCTCTCCTGGCTTCTGGTGGGTACCCACAATCCTTGGCACTCCTTGGCTCATGGCAGCAAAACTCCAACCTCTGCCTTTGTCTTCACATGGCCTTCTTATAAGGACACCAGTCATTGGATGTAGGGCCCACCCTAATCCAGTATGACCTTTTATTAACCCTTACATCTGCAAAGACCCTATTTCCAAATAAGGTCACATTCTGAGGTTCTGTATGGACATGGATTTTTGAGGGGCACCGTTCAACGCAGTACAGTTGCATTAAGACTTTCCCAGTGAAATACCTTTGATCTTTCTTTCCATCAATATAAGTACTTAAAAGTAAGAACCAAAGGATACAAAGACTCTATAACACAGATATTGTGCTGCCACAAACCCTGACTCCTGGGGGATGGAAGTAGAAATTGCTTCGTGAAGACTGGAGCTGAAGGGCTAAGTATGACGGTTATCACAATGCCTAGTAAACATCCCCTTCCCTTTGTATGCTGTTCTCAAATACCTTCCTGTTTTCCATGTAAATAAAAGATGAAAAGTTATTAAGTTATTTGCATGATTATTAGCTAAGGAATCATGAGCACAGTATTTCACTAACTTCTTACTATCTTAGCATGATGTATGAGGGTCCTTATGATCTGGCCCCATACCACTTGTCCAGCTCACTTCCCATGCTTCTCCATAGTCCACTATGGTCCAGTGTTTATTTTCTAAAATCCTCTGAATTCACCAGTTCTCATCTATCTCCAGATATCATATGCAATTCCCCCAAACTTGACCCTTTGATCATTGTCTTTTCATTTTATAAGTCTTGGCTTAGCCATCACCTCTTCCAATGAACTCTTCCCGAATCCATCAGATTGGGTGATATAC